CAAGGACTTGGGCCATCCTGTACTGCTTTCCCAGGCCACAGCAGAGAGCTGGACTGGAAGCAGAGCTGTCGGGTCTCGAACCAGCACCCATATGGGATGCCGGCACTGCAGGCAGCAGCCTCACCCGCTATGCCACAGCACCGGCCCCAATCATTCTTCTTGAAGTCTTCTTCATGACAGAGTTCAGGAGGGAAACTAAGGCAGAAACTGTTCTTGTGCAATGTGGAAATCCTCTGGTGGGAGACTTAGCTCCCCGAAGTTCCGCTGGCCTTGCCAGACATTTTAGTACTGTGCTGCAGTCTAAGGCCCTTCCTGCACCTCTCCCTTCCTTTCATGTTTCATCAGACCTGAACCATGGTCTGATTGATTGCTCTCCTAGAAGATCTGGACTAATACTGTGCATAACCTTTTTGGGTCTAGAGTCACAACTTGGGTGTGAATGCATCTGGCTTCACCAATCCTAGTCATATGAGTTCAAGCAAATCATTTAATTTCTTTAAAGTGCCAGTTTTTGTAAGGGAAGGCATTTGGCATGGCAGTTAAGATGCCAGCTGGGCTGCCCACATCCCTGTCAGAGTGCTTGGGTTTGAATCCTGACTCTGCTCCTGATTCCAGCATCCTACTAATGTGCAACCTGGGAGGCAGCAGGTGTTGGTTCAAGTACTTGAGTTCATGCCACCCATGCGGGAGACCTAGACTGAGTTCAAGGCTCTGGTTTCACCTCCACCTGTCCCAGCTGTTGCAGGCATTTGTGGAGTGAAACAGTGGACGGAAGATCTCTGTCTCTGTCTCTTTGCCTTCCAAATACATTTTAAAAAGTGAAATAAATAAAAAGGTTTTAAAATGCTGGTTTTCTAATCTGAAAATCATGATGATAATTGTATTAAATTAATCAGGATTTTAAAGTAAGTGCATGGTATCTGGCACACAGGAAGTACTTGATAAAAGTTATGATTATGGATATGAGGGCTGAAGGAGAGGAAGAAGTAGGGGTAATTCTTAGGTGTCTGGCTACTTACAATACATAAAGTAATCACAAATATTTCAACTTAATTCTCTTTTTGCATGCAGAGGATATCCTTTTGAGTACAAACAAGATTAGGAAATCCTGCCTTTCTTTCCTCTCTACTCCTAGAATTCATGGCTCTTCTAGTTTTCATGAATAATGGAAGATAAACTAGGAAAGTGCACTTTAAAATAAACATAGAAAAGAACCCTCTATGGCCAGTGCTGTGGCTAAGTGGGTAAAGCTACTGCCTGTAGTACCTATATCCAATATGGACACTGATTTGAGTCTCGGCTGCTCCACTTCCAATCTAGCTCTCTGCTCTGGCCTGGGAAAGCAGTAGAAGGTGGCCCGAGTGCTTGGGCTCCTGCACCCATGTAGGAGACCCAGAGGAAGTTCCTGGCTCCTGGCTCCTGGCTTTGGATCTGCTCAGCTCTGGCCATTGCAGCCATTTAGGGAGTAAATCAGCACATGGAAGATCTCTCTCTCTCTGCCTATGCCTATGCCTATGCCTCTCTGTAATTTTGCCTTTTGAATAAGAAAGAAAGAAAGGAAGAAAGAAAGGAAGGAGGGAGGGAGAGGAAGGGGGAAGGGGGGAAGGAAGGAAGGAAAGAAAAAGAAAAGAACCCTCTAGACTCTGGAGTTTACTGGATGGCCTTTTACAATATTGTTCAGTCATGCCTGTACCAGGTAGAAGACTAGCTACACGACTGTCCTATGGAGAAAAGGTCCTTGGAGAGCGCTCCTTCATGTGAGAATGGAGAAAAGTCACTCAGTCTCCTTGAGGACCTGGAAAGCTAAGTGGAGGAATTCTAAGTTGAATGCGTTGCATAAAGAGTTTTTTTTTTTTTTTTAAATAGGCTTGGAAATCTGCTCTTAGAATTTTTTAAAAGATCTGTTTATTTGAAAGACAGAATGACACAAAGAGAAGGAGAGACAGAGAGAGAGCATGGACATGCAAGAGAGATCTTCCCTGTGCTGGTTCACTCCCCAAAATGCCCACAACAGCTGGAGCTGGACCAAACCTAAGTCTGAAGACAGAAACTCCATCCAGGTCTCCTATGGAGATGTCAGGGACCCAAGTACTTAGGCCATCATCTGTTGCCTCCCAGGGTACATGGTAGCAGGAAGACAGATTGGGAGTGCAGAGTAGGTAAACTTGAAACATTCAGTCCAATAGGCAATGAGGGTGTCCCAAGATGCTGTGCCATACTTGTACCAAGTTATGTTTTACCTATGAGATAGCAAATGATTTTTTTCTTTTTTTTATTTTAAAGATTTATTTATTTATTTGAAAGTCAGAGTTACACAGAAAGAGGAGAGGCAGAGAGAGAGAGAGAGAGAGAGAGAGAGAGAGAGAGGTCTTCCATTGGATGGTTCACTCCCCAGTTGGCTGCAATGGCCAGAGCTACACCGATCCGAAACCAGGAGTCAGGAGCTTTCTCCGGGTCTCCCACGAAGGTGCAGGGGCCCAAGGACTTGGGCCATCTTCTACTGCTTCCCAGGCCATAGCAGAGAGCTGGATCGGAAGTGGAGCAGCTGGATCTCAAACTGGTGTCCATATGGGATGCCGGCATTTCAGACCAGGGCATTAACCCACTGCACCACAGTGCCAACCCCTGATCTTTCCTTTTCTCAAACACATTGGTAGACTTAAGATGAACCAAAATTTAAATCATAGACTGGAATATGGCATCAAAGCTACAAAATGGAACAGAAAAGAAAAATGTGAACTCCAGAGCAAAATTTTAAGAAATGTATTGTTTTGATTTTTTTTAAAATTTTATTTGAGAGGCAAAGGATTAGAGGGAAAGAGGCAGACAGACATACAGTTTCCCAAAGGCCCACAATGACTGAGCCTGGGCCAGAAACAAAGCCAGGGGGTTGGGCCCAGTCTAGATCTCCTATATGGGTGGCAAAGATCCAACTATTTGAGCCCTTACCTGCTGCCTTCCAGGGTGTACATTAACAGGAAGCCAGAATCAGGAGTGGAGCCAGGACTTGGACATAGGCATTCGGATATGGCATGCAGTAGTCCCAACCAGGATGAGAAGAACCTAGCCAAGCAGTTTATATGAATAATATGACCTTTAATGAACTGACAGCTCCATGAGAGTCAATAGTGCAATTTTAGTTTGTAAACAAATGAGTGTATTCTGTGTCTGTGTATTCTAATAACAGGAAGTTTCAGCTTCCTGTCTGCAATATTAGGAGCTACAGTAGAAGATTTCCAAATCCCATACGACTGTACTATTGTATATGACTCCAGGAGTTTAACATTTTAAACTTGAATTCCTGCATTTTCAGAAAAATAACCATAGAAAAGATACACAGATTTGATGAAAATGGACCATCCATTTCTGTGGTTAATTTTGTAGCTTGAATGATCTCCAGAAAAGAAAATAGAGAAGTAAAGTATTTTGTAAGCTGAATTGACCGACAAATACCTCCCAAAATGAGTGTGGCAATAGAACCTTGCTTACATCTATTTCACACTGTATTAACTTCACACAAAACAATTTTTCTCAAGGTGGCAAGCTTGAACAACCCGTCTTTCCTGAACTGTGCCTGATGAACACATAGGCAATGAGCTGTGCTGTCATTCTTTTAACTCCCATAGCCTTGGAGGGCCCAGCCCGAGCCAACCAGCTGCTTGTCAATGTTGGTAATCAAGGATTTCAGACTGAGGTCAACACAGGACACTGCCAGCAAGGACTAGAGAGCCGAAGTACACAGGGCCCCCTGATGAGGTGCTGCTGGACGCTGGCTGGGCACGGATCCCAGCTGTAGCCATGGCCTAACAGGCAGTCTGTAATGGCTTTGAAAGTAATCAGTGAGCTTCCCCATTCTATCAGTGCTGTTCGCATTCTCTTCTGGACCCCTAATTGGCATTTCTAGATGTTTAAAATCTCTTTTGAGCAAAAGGCAGTAAGAGACTAAATCTTGGGGAAAGCAAAACTTCAATAGGAATAGAAATCCTTGTTGGTTGAGATGCTGCATAAGATGCCTGCATCCCATGTTGGAGTACCTGGTTCCACACCTAGCTCCGGCTCCTGATTCCAACTAATTCAGACCTTGGAGGGAGCAGTGATGACTCAAGGGATTGGATTCTTGCCTCATGGGAGACCTGGATCGTGTTCCTGGCTCCTGGCTTCAGGTTTTGGGGCTGTTGCAGGCGCTTGGGTGGGAGGTGGGGTAACGGATGAAATGGATCTCATTCTCTCTCTCTCTCTCTCTGCCTCTCAAATAAATAAATAAAAATTCTGGCCAGTGCTATGGCACAGTGGGTTAAGTCACAGTCTGCCGTGCTGGCATCCCATAGGGCCACCTATTCGAGGTCCAGCTGCTCCACTTCTGATGCAGTTCCTTGCTAATGCATCTGGGAAAGCAGTGGAAGATGGCCCAGGTCCCTAGTTTCCTGTACCTAAATGGAGACCCAGAAGAAGCTCCTGGCTCCCGGCTTCAGCCTGGCCCAGCCACAGTCATTGCAGCCATCTGGGGAGTTGAACCAGTGGGTGGCAGATCTCTCTGTCCTTCTTTTTCTCGGTAACTCTACATTTCAATAAATAATTCTAAAAAATTTTAAAATACACTTTAAAAATAGCATTTCAGATATTTCAGCAGGGATCTCTGTCTAGCTAAGAGAGTTGAAGAGGTGATCAGAAGGCCTCTCTCTTCTTGTTCTGCAATCAACCAGGTGCAAGTGCTCAGGCAAGCCACTCAGCAACCTGTTCTGTTTCCTCACATGTAAAATGAGGAGGAACTCCACTTCACTACTTCCAAGCCTAGGAGCCCATTTGCGTTGTCCTGATTTGTGGAGGACCCCAGACCAAGATATAGGTTACATAGAGAGCAGGAAAAGAATTGGATACAGGCTTGGAGGTAATCTCTCTGTATCCAGGTTGAAAGAGGACCATGGAACACTAAACATGTATGGGCTGCTGAGACCTCCGAATCCCGTCCCCTGTAGGAAATGCACTCACAGTACCCACGGGTTCCTGATTCAGGTAAGTCCCTTCCAGGTGTTGGCTGAGTTGCTTGGTTTTGCAACTCAGGTCATAGAGGTCATGGAGGGTGGGACGTTGGCCAATGTGTCATCATGCCAATGCTCTGAGAAAATGGACAGAGACAACACAAAAGCCAGAAGAGGAGTTTGCAGTACAAATTGACCCTAGCGACCCATCGTGTTCTTTTCAGATTGAAAAGGCTTTGGGAGCCAGGCAACTGTAGCAACTGGGGCTTCATTCCCTTAACACCGCTTCTACACATGTGGGCAAGGACACCTTTATAGACATTTAACAAAGGGAGGTGAGTGCAGGAGACGCTAACGTTGACGGCTTTTGGAAATTTGGGAATCCATAGATGTTAGTGGGAGAAGCCTTCCTTTTTCCATTGTGGTAAAATACACATTTAAAGTTATAACTTTTTTTTTTTAATTTGAAAGACAGAGAGACAGAGACAGATACACAGAGAGAAAAAGAGATATCTTCCAACCTCTGGTTCACTCCTAATATGCCTGCAACGGCTGGGGCTGGGCCAGGCCATAGCCAGACCCAGGAGTCAGAAGCTTCTTCCAAGTCTCCCACTTGGGTGGCAGGGACCCAAGCACTTAGGCCATCTTTGGCTGCTTTTCCCCAGCCTCTAGCAGGGAACTAGATGAGAATTGGAATAGCCAGGACCCTGTTTTTTAATTTTAATTTTTATTTATTTGAAAGGCAGAGTTATGGGGTAGAGGGAAGAGACAGTGAGAAAGATCTTCCATCCACTGTTTCACTCTCCAAATGGTTGCAATGGCCAGGCCAAAGCCAGGAGACTGGAACTCCTTCTGGGTCTCCCATGTGGGTGGCAGTGGCCCAAGCACTTGGACAATCTTCTGTTGTTTTCCAGGACCATTAACAGGAAGCTGGATTGGAAGAGGAGCAGCCAGGACTCGACCAGTGCTCAGATATCGATGTTGGTGTTACAGGCAGCAGCTTTACCTGCTGTGCCGCCAGCTTGGCCCCTTAGCCCTTGGTAAGTATTACAGCTCCGTGGAGAGGGCCTTTTTGGTGACTCTGGGTTCCTCCCTGTGTGGTTGTAGACTGTACACTCCACTGCTAGGAAAGTTCCTGACTGTTGCTGCAGGGTCAGATGGCAGGACCCCATTCAGTTGATGGGTTTGGCTTCTGCAATACGGACTTACCCCAGAATACCAGAGACAGGACCAGAAATTATTCCGTGGTTGTTTCTCCCTGACACTGGTGAGTGCTAGTTTGCTGCTGTATCCTTTTAATTTTTTATTTCTGCCTTGACCTTGGTCACTTGTTCTGTGGCTTGCCCTTGGGCCCTGATCTCTTTTGTTATTCTGAATTTTTATTCTCTGTAGACTCTTGTCTTTTTCTGAATATTGAAAACGCATTTTCCTTGGGATCTGCCAGGTGTTCCGCATGCGATGGTCTTTGCGTATTATTTTTTAGGCAGGTAGGAGCTCTGTTTTCCACCTGAGCTCCAATTCCAATGCCTACTGGTCATTTCCTCTGGAATGTGCCAGTCATTGTTCTGCTAACCAGATTGCAACATAGCCAAATACAGCATTCATTTCTTGCCACAAGCCAGCTGCTGGTATAACCTCTTGGTCCTTGTCAATGGTCCATTAAGTCACTTGGACACAGAAGTCAAGTTCTCTTAGATTTTATCTCTTTTGTCATTCAGTCATTCAGCCTAATGAATGATCAGCTTTTCCTCCAAATATTGATCTTGTTTCTGCCCTCCCTTCTCCCAGGGGGTCTCCATTTCTGGATCCTTACCCCCTTTATTACCATCTGGTACTCATGTCTACTTTTTTCCCTGATCCACTTTTCTGTGAAGGCCAAGGCCAGCCCTACACCTATCCTCATTAATCTAACCATGTCTATTCAAAACACTGGAATTCTTCCCCATTTCTTTTTCTTTCTTTAAAAGATTTTTAAATTTATTTTGAAAGAGTTACAGAGCCGGTGCCGCGGCTCACTTGGCTAATCCTCCGCCTGCGGCACCGGCACACCGGGTTCTAGTTCCGGTCGGGGCGCCGGATTCTGTCCCGGTTGCTCCTCTTGCAGTCCTGCTCTCTGCTGTGGCCCAGGAAGGCAGTGGAGGATGGCCCAAGTGTTTGGGCCCCTGCACTGCATGGGAGACCAGGAGGAAGCACCTGGCTCCTGGCTTCAGATCGGCGCAGCACACCAGCCGTAGAGGCTAATTTGGGGGGCAAACCAACGGAAGGAAGACCTTTCTCTCTGTCTCTCTCTGTCTCTCTCTGTCTCTCTCACTGTCTAACTCTGCCTGTCAAGAAGAAAAAAAAAGTTATATAGAGAAGGAGAGACAGAGACAGAGAGAGAGAGGGATCATCCACCCACTGGTTCACTCCCCAGATGGCCACAGTGGCCAGCTCTGGGCCAGGCTGAAGCCAGGAACCAGAAGGTTCATCCAGGTCTTCCATGTGGGTGACAGGGACCCAAGCAGCTGGGCCATCTACCACTGTTTTTCCCAGGCTATTAGCATGGAGCTGGATTGGAAGTGGAGCAGCCGGGATACGAACCAGCAGTCATATAGGATGCCAGCATTGTAGGCTGTAGCTCTACCCACTATGCCACAAGTCTAGGCCCTAGAATTCTTCCCTATTCCTATCATTTAGGCTTCTGCTCTTTTCTGACCTTCAAATTTCCCTCTGATTTCATCCCAGGTTAGACAAACCTTCTGTTAGCTGGCTATATGGTAAGGCAAAGTTTCAGGGACTTGGGCTTCCTCCTAGAGCTGCCTTCTAATCCCAATTCTGGCCTCCACAGAATGACCTCAGGCAATTGACTGAGCCTTGGAACCTTCAATTCTCTCTTGCAAATTGGAATAATAATGCCTACATCCTAGTGAGTTTTATGAGGATTTAATGAGACAATATACGTAGACACAATTGGGCATTGTGCTCAGAACCCATATTTGAGGGCATTGACTCAGGCTCCTGCAGAGCAAGTTCCTGAACCTCGTTGGGCCACATCGTTTTCATTTGTCCAATGGAGAAACTAACAGTGCCTACCTCACAGGTCTGCAGTGAGGACTAATGACACAGTGCATGTGACGTGCTGAACGTGGCGCCTGGCACGTTGTAAGCTGTAGTAGGCATCAGCTGTTATTTTATGGCAGGAGATACAGCACAGTGCTTGACACCTAATCAGCATGTACATGATAACTAAGGTTCTTGATGAATTCATCTTATCTATATGATCTTATCTCCCATGAAATCTTGCTGTGCACATTCTCATACCACTCTTCTTCCAGATAGGCTGAACACCTTGTCTTTCCATGAATATGTCTTCCACTTCTCCTTTGTTTGGTAATAGTAGTCTTCCTTTCTACAGTGTCATAATTTCTCTTCACTGCCTATCCAAATTCTATCATTAAAAATTATTTATTAATTATGTATTTATAAGGCAGAAAGAGAGAGAGAGAAAAAAAATACCAAGGGATACATAACTCCCATCCATTAGTTTATTCTCCAAATGCCCTCAATGACTTAGGCCTAGCTGAGGCTGAGGCTGGAAGTGGACAACATTAGCAAGGTGTCACATATCAGGTGGCAGGGACCCAATCACCTGAACCATCATCACTGCTTCCCAAGGTCTACATTAGCAGGAAGCTCGAGTCAGGAATCCAACCCAGGTATTCCAATGTTGGATTCAGACATTTTAATCAGCTGGTCAAAAAACCACTGCTTCTTCCTATTCTTTTTTTTTTTTTAAGATTTATTTATTTATTTGAAAGGCAGAGTTTCAGAGAGGCAGAGGCAGAAAGAGAGAGATGTCTTCCATCTGCTGGTTCATTCCCCAAATGGCTACAATGGCCAGAGCTGGGCTGATCCAAAGCCAGGAGCCAGGAGCTTTCTCTGAGTCTCCCATGCAGATGCAGGGGTCCAAGCATCTGGGCCATCTTCTGCTGCTTTCCCAGGCCATAGCAGAGAACTGGATAGGAAGAGGAGCAGCTGGGACTCAAACTGGTGCCCATATGGGATGCTGGCACTGCAGGTGGCAGCTGTACCCACTATGCCACAGCACCACCCCCTCCTTTAAGATTTATTTGTTTATTTGAAGGCAGATAGAGAAAGAAGGATATATATATATATATATATATAGAGAGAGAGAGAGAGAGAGAGAGAGAGAGAGAGAATCTTCCATCTTCTGGTTCACTCCCCAAATGGGTCCAATGACCAGGGCTGAGCCAGGCCAAAGCAAGAAGCCAGGAGCCAGGAGCTTCTTCCATATCTCCCGCATGGGTGCAGGGGCCCAACTACTTGGACCATCTTCTGCTGCTGTCCCAGGTACACTAAAAGGGAGCTGGATCAGAAGTGGAATAACCAGGACTCGAACTGGCACCAGCCCCTTCTTCTTATTCTTTAAGGTCTATCCTAAACCTTGCCCCGTAAAGCTTTTGCTCATCACATTGGTATTTACCAGTGTCTCTCTTTTCTAAACCAATTACACTTGATTTAACACTGAGCACTGTTATTCTGTCAGGTACACTTAGCTACTTCTCAGTATTTGTCATGTATCTTCAATCAGTTTAGTAATTTTTCCTCAGCCAGCATTGTTTCAGAACACATAGTAAATACATACAGAATATTTAATTGACTCCCTTTTCATCTCACATTATCTCTCAGATCGTAGTCCCAGATTATGTTTACAGTGAAGTTTGGAGAGATGGTCATATACTTAGTTGTCTGAAGATGGGGAGGGATCCAGAATTCTGAAATAATTTTTCAGACCTAGATTCTCTTATCAGTAGAGTGGCAGGTAAGAGTGGAAAAACGCAGCGAGGGCTGGAATAAGGAGTTCCTACTACATGCGCCAAGTTCCCATGGCCTTTGGGAGAACATAGCAGAAAAATGCTTAAGCCTAAAGGCTGTGCCGGTGAGGGGCTGGAGGCTTGACCATTGCTGACAGAGGCAGGAAAGTGTCCACCTTAAAGGCTCTGCCTTTAACTGGTTTCTCAAGCGTCTTACACCTTTATACAACATTTGCCCTGTTGAGAAACTGGTTTTACATGAAACTTCCCATGGCTTGAAGCAAGTAACCATGACGGTGTTTGCATACCATTGGGGTTTTTCCCTCCCATAAGTGCCAATAAAGATGAAATGGCATTCAGATGACGTGATACGAAGGACATCACTGCGGCCTGAAAGGTGAGAATATTTGAACTATGCAAAAGGTGCATACCAGGGTTTCACAATGACAGAGGAGGTCAAGAAAGACTGGTCCAGATGCTAGGTGAAGAACGTTGTCTTTGCCTCAGTTCTCATGGGGGCGAGAGCCTCTGCTGATCTAATCTCTTCTGTACTCTTGTACTACATAGTCTGGACTGCACAGTTGAGTCCCACATTGTACATGGTGGGTTTTTTTTGTTTGTTTGTTTTTTGGTTTTTTTGACAGGCAGAGTTAGTGAGAGAGAGAGAGAGAGAGATACAGAGAGAAAGGTCTTCCTTCCGTTGGTTCACCCCCCAAATGGCTGCTACAGCCGGCGCGCTGCGCCGATCCAAAGCCAGGAGCCAGGTGCTTCCTCCTGGTCTCCCATGCAGTGCAGGGCCCAAACACTTGGGCCATCCTCCACTGCCTTCCTGGGCCCCAGCAAAGAGCAGGACTGGAAGAGGAGCAACCGGGAAAGAACAGGCGCCCCAACCGGGACTAGAACCTGGGGTGCCGGTGCCACAGGCGGAGAATTAGTCAAGTGAGCAGTGGCGCCAGCCATACATGGTGTTTTAAAAATTGCTTTATGTGTTAGTTTGTGTTCCTCCAGCTAGTTCTAAATCCTCTGAGGATGCAGACTACCTCAAACTTCTTTGCTGTGCCCTGTAGAGACTCAAAGTACAACTTCACACAGAGCTAGGCACAATAAAACTCCTGACAACAAGTGTTAGGGATTTGATTTTGGAAAGTAAATTCATAACCTGTGGCCCCCAAAGGAGAATTTCAAGTCTTTTAAATTATGCATTTATTTATTTAATTTGACAGGCA